CCCCAAAACCCCAAAACCCCAAAACCCCAAAACCCCTTTTTATTTAAAGTTTATTGAATTTATTAAATTAAATGTATTTAGTCTAGCTAAATCCTTTTTCAAACTCTAAGGAACTCTTTCCTCAGATTGAGTAGGTCTCGACTCTTAGCATCTTCTAAGGACTCAAAGGCGAATCATTCAATATGGTCTCTCTCCTTTCAAAGTAATCGATCTTCTTGGTCTGTCCAGTAGAGTCTCTTTACTTGAGGATCCTCAAGACCCTCTCTGTTTGAGAGATGGTCTTCCATAGCTTCTAAGTTTCCACTGAGTTGCACAAATAAGTTTGCAATGTAGTCTTTTGTATATCCTGGATAGGATGAGTGTAATAGCTTAAGCCTTCTGTATAACTCATCAAAGAAATAATAACATTCTCTCAACTTCTTTTGGCTATAGGCTGATTTCTCAACCATAATGTTGGAATTGACAGCTATTGATCAGAAGTAAATCTTACCTTTGTATTGATTATTACTAATAGGAGGGTTCTTCTTCCATTTCCTTACTCTGAACCTCTGGAAGTCATACTTAATAGAGTCAGTAAATTTATACTCTCAACGAAGCTTAATTACTTCTCTATTAGATCCTGTAAAGATGCTCTTAATAGAGGTTCCATCGGCCTTCTTTGTTTTAATATCAAACCTGTCTGCAAATTTAGAGGATTTTTGTTGGAAGCTAAATATCTTTTGAATTAAATCTTTAGTGTCGTCTTTCTGTCCTTCATCATTTTCTTTATCACCAATCAATTTGGGACCAAGAATAGATTTTGATAAGCCAGGCTCAGAGTAAGGGCCTCCCATAGTTTTGACTCCTGAGCTAATTTCTTGATATTCCAAGCTCTGTCCGCTCATTGGAAACCGAATCTCAGAATTATGGTCAGTATGGATCTTGATTTCATCTTCGGTCTTCCTGGTGTAAGTCTTTGCAGGTGCTCGCTTAGTCTTGTTCGTGGATATTTTCTGGTAATCTTCTTGGTCTTCATCAAAAGAGGCGAATTCCTCATCATTTTCGCCAAAATTAGGGATCTTGTCTTTGGGAGGGATATTCATACTAAGTGATTGAGGCTTCACTTATATCCAGAGTGTGCTAATTTCAATCTGTCACGCTAAAATAGGGGTTTTGGGGTTTTGGGGTTTTGGGG